CATGCAGAACAGGAAAAACAGGAATATGCATAACGGAAACCAAAGCGCTGAGTGGAACTTTTGGTTGATCTGATTGTACGGGTTATCTTGAGCCGCCAAGTTTACTTTCATCTCTCCAAGAACTGATGAGTCATGAGCGGTTACTATGACAACATCTCCATTCGGTAGCGGTTGCTTGTCGCCATCTTGTTTACCTGGTAACAAGTCTTGAACGTTTAACTGAGCAGGAAGGTAATCGCTGGGCTCGTAGGTTTGGTCCCCGTTTGAATATGTCCCATCCATCTTGTTATCGGTGGCAACAAAGGTTCCATCGGAGCCCATGTCCCCCAAGACCGGGAAAAGCTTGATTTTCCTCTTCTCCCGATATTGTCCCGTCCCATTCTCTCCTGTATAGGAATGGACTTGAGGAGAACTGCCATCATGCCTCCTTAAATACCTGTTATTATAAAACTGGTATGGGTCCTTTATTGGGATGTCATCCTCCGGGAAAGAATCTGACATAATTTTTTGAAAAAAAATAAATCTCAAATCAGTTTCACTGGTTGGTATTTTGTCTTCTGATTAAAACAAATACCCCCACAATGGTCTCCTCTTTAGAATTCCCAGAACGTTTACCACAAAACCTGTCACAATCCGCAAGGTGGTTGATGAACAATATCCTATTATCCTTGGCTCCAGCAATGCTCTGTTCACCTCTCACTGCTTACCACACTATCCGCTTTCTGTCATCTACTGCATCACGCCACGTATTGATCTGCATATCAAGTCCCTCATACACCTTTAAACAGCTGGTGAAGACAAACCGTTGTCGAATGTTCCTTGACTGTCCCCTGAGGTTACCTTGCTAATATCCGAAAGAGGGTGAAAAGTCCATGCCAAATCTCTAAATCGCTCGTCTCCTAAAGCTGTCCTATACACAATACGCTGGACCGGCCTTTGTGGTGATATCCAGCCGCATCGATCGAGTCGTCTCTCTCAAAGCTAGCAATAAATTACAGGTACACACGCGCGTATTTTTACCTGGAATTACAGCTGTTACCTGTAGCGGTAGGCTTACAAGTCAGAGAAAACCGTGTGTGGCTGGTGAAAGATACACCACACGATGATGTACGTGTTAAATCTCCCGTGTCCCGCGCGTATTTAAAAAAAGGAAGAAGACTGGTCTACTGCAGGGCCGTGTTTTGGGACTGAACTTGTTTTGTCTGTTTCGTGAAACAGGATATTATCCGACACGGGTAGATGCCTTTGGGTGGGTGTATTGTTATACAAGTATGATGAAGTGACACAGGGTAGAGGTCAAGGTCAAAATGTGTCTAACTGCGCATTTAGTATACAACCCAACAAAAGATATATTTTTTTTTTTTATAAATTGACACGCATACATGTAGGAGTTGAAAGCTGAATTGATGAATTTTAAATGACTATTAGAAATGTGACACACATTAACAATAAAAGGGATCAGGACCGTATAGTAATACACAGAGGCATCGTCTGAGTTGCGTAACACATGTTGAATATGTTTGGTATTCATGAATGCGGATCAAAGATATAAAACACACAGGACTGTGTTTAGGATAGCTGAAGGAGTGCGTCTCTGGCTTTATATTGGCCAAAGGACATGAAAAAGTTACATCAATTAACAAGTCTTCTAAAATAATGCAGCAAGCGTTCCGACTCACATATATTCAAATAACAAAAGGTCGACTTCGTGAGATTATATCCGTGCACGATGTTTAACAACTTACACCTATCCCACGTACAGCTTCGTCACGAGAAGGAACTCATTTTTTAACAGAAAACTAAAATACGTTGTAATTCATTACAGGCGCACTGTGTTTGTACGAGGGAAAGGAAACTATGTCAATACTTTATTTTATTCCACTTAATGTCAGAGAACAGCGTAACCCAATATCGGCGTGACAGTGAATTTAACAACAGATGTTGGTAGAATAATCAATTTCAAGGCAACTGCCAGAAGCACTTGAACAATAAAAGATATTATCCATGTTAGACATGTAAGTATTCTCAACCCTTTGTTGATAGGAAAATATGATATAAACATATTTATTACCATTGGCAGCAAGCAAATTTTGCTTATCTGAATGCCTCTCCAAAACATGATACATATACAAATTACAATGTATTTAAGGTGACATGAGAAATAGCGTACAACACATAAATGACATTAAAGATAAGTATTGTTCTGTAAGTGTTTTATCTTTCGTTACTGCAGCTACGTTATTATTTACATCCAGCACAACATCGCAGTATCATATGGCAAAGCCAACATTAAAACACAACACAAAAACAAAAATAACTCAAAGTCTCGAAATCGGGAAGAAGATAGAAAAACACTGTGCACTGATTTCAAAATTTCAAGAATTGTTACAGTCGTTAAATGTGAATTCAAATCGTAGCTTTTCACGAAATAATACAAAATTTGCCTCAATGTACTGATTAAGGGACACGTAAGAAAGAAATGAAGTGCTTCTTCCGTGTGGTATCCACAAAAACATCTCGGATATAAACATCGCGGTAGTACAAATTGATCAATGCATTTTTAATTATTTTCTTAGCTGATATAATTATAACTATGAATTTTGCAGAATTATCCAGTTGTATTGTCACATACGTATTATCAAATAGTCAGTTATTACATGGCGAACTAAATTTCTCAGCTTAAAAAATATATTTTTAAACATTGTAAAAATAACCATATTAAGAATGTTTTAAGCTTATTGTGTTTTATTAACACACATGCTTTTCACATAAATTGGTAGACTGAAACATCGACAAACTGGACTATTTGTTTTCAAATTCGTTTTGCATAGATACAGCATTACAGGTTAACCAAGGTCGGCAATGCTATCACGTTGAATGGGGTCGTTCTGACTTGTGTCCAATAACGATTAGTATCATTTCTCATCATGATTTGTCTGTCGGTATTGATATTGCTATCAGTCCATTCAGCTTGTAAACTACCCCACACCCCGCTATTGAAATATTTCACGCCTATTCTGGCCTCAGCTATCATGGTCACGTGGTATATGTGAACATACGTGGTATGTGAGAGTGGGGTTCCGGGTCGTGGTGTTCCGAGTCGTGGGGTTGTGAATGTGGAATATAAGTAAGGGACCGACCAGTTGATATTCTGAGGTTGTACGGGGTGGGGTGGGTATGGAGACTAGATATTTTTTCAGCTAAAGCTTCAAAACTTGATACTCTTTTAATTAAAACTATAAGTCTAAACATTTTTTTCTGAAATAAACACCTTTCAGCAATGTACTTATTGTCAGACAATTTGTTTTTATTTTTCAACAGTCCAAAGCATAATTATTTTTTTCACGAATTTTCAATACAATAATATTTTTCGTTAAAATCCCATCAAATTCAAATGATCGGTCCCAAGTGGAATTGTGGGTATTTCTTGGAGGGTGTCGATGCGTTGGGATGATATAGATATTAGATGTCATATAGTCAGTAATATTGCTGAGTGCGGCGTTAAACAAAACAAATAAGAATTAAATCATATGAAGTGATGATTAGAACTAATCCCAGTCAGTTGTTACATGTAGATGACCATAATCATGAATCAATCTTTAGTCGACATTCTTTGCACCATGGCAAACGCTCAAATTAACATGAAATTTATTCCTAAAGGTCGAGGCGGTCAGCACTTGTTGAACATGGGATATTTTGACGTTATCTTCTCCCCCAAAATATGTCCATCCACATTCTAAAGTTCCAAACATCTAATCATAACATACCCATTGAGACAGGCCGATGGCGTGGTTTACTGAAGATAATCAACATTGTCAGTTATGTAATTCTACTGCAGTTAGAGGCGAGTTACACTATCTCTTTAGATGTGAAGCTCTTCTCCAACATTGACTCGATTTAATTTCTACTAAATCTTTCATCTCGCCAAAATTATTTAAAATATATAAATTACTCCATTAAATTGGGCCAGATTTATTGTACAAGTACTTTTACCTTGAGTATAATTAAAAAGATCAAATATAATGTTTTGAATACATCTACTTTCTTTAAAAGTATGATTGATGTATTTAAGTATCTATTCATGTAACATGTGTGGTAGTTTGCAAAGTAACTTGAGTGATTGGTACAGATTCAGCATGAAGTCTAGGAGAGGTCAGACTGTTCACTGGAGATGTTGCAAACACACCTGTCGGGCAACTATCAACAGTCAAGACGGCATCGTGTCGGGGTATAGAAATAAACACGACCATCTAGAGTGAGTGAGTGAGTATGGTTTTACGCCGCTTTTAGCAATATTCCAGCAATATCACGGCGGGGGACACCAGAAATGAGCTTCACACATTGTACCCATGTCGGGAATCGAACCAGGGTCTTCGGCGTGACGAGCGAAACGACCATCTAGACTAACATTTAGTCTCTGAAATCTTATATTACACAATATCCTTCTTGACTCTAAAAATAAAAAAAATTCCCTATGCTGATTTCAGAATAGAGCTAGCTTGAGCTGGCTAGACTTGCTTTTGTATGCATTTCTAGATTATTATTTTTTCATAAAATAAATATATTCCACGGTCATGGTGCAGGACTAACGACCATCCTGCAGATCAGCTTAGATGAGTGTAGACACCCTCGTTGCTAACAGCCATCTATCGAGAGGAAATTTTCATGTGTGATAACATAATTTGCATGCAGAGTAATGAGAATGTCCTTGTAAACCAAGATTTTATTATTTGAAAACATATCACATTTAAGCATGTCAAACCGTGAATATAAATAAAATAAATGTTTCTATTTCATTTTAGCTTCCCACCCTTGCGACGTAGTAGGCGAAGTTCCGGTCGACCACAGTGTACAGACCTCACTGTACTCCTCTGGGACCAAAGACATCCCAACTCTTCCCTGCGTCCAACATGCTGACATTGTGAGCAACAGCCGCTATGTCACCACGAAGTTGGTAGAGGGTCATTGAGGCCGCAACATGTGGCACCACTACTCCACAGATGGACCAGGACCAACAACTGGGGAGGGGGTCATCTATCACCACTACTCCACAGATGGACCAGGACCACCAACTAGGTAGAGAGGCATGTAGCACCACTACTCCACAGATGGACCAGGACCGCCAACTGGGTAGAGGGGCATCTATCACCACTACTCCACAGATGGACCAGGACCGCCAACTGGGTAGAGGGGCATCTATCACCACTACTCCTCAGATGGACCAGGGCCACCAACTAGGTAGTGGGACATGTAGCACCGCTACTCCACAGATGGACCAGGACCGCCAACTGGGTAGAGGGGCATCTATCACCACTACTCCACAGATGGACCAGGGCCACCAACTAGGTAGAGGGGCATGTAGCACCACTACTCCACAGATGGACCAGGACCGCCAACTGGGTAGAGGGGCATCTATCACCACTACTCCTCAGATGGACCAGGGCCACCAACTAGGTAGAGGGACATGTAGCACCACTACTCCACAGATGGACCAGAACCGCCAACTGGGTAGAGGGTCATCTATCACCACTACTCCACAGATGGACCAGGGCCACCAACTAGGTAGAGGGTCATCTATCACCACTACTCCACAGATGGACCAGGACCGCCAACTGGGTAGAGGGACATGTTGCACCACTACTCCACAGATGGACCAGGACCGCCAACTGGGTAGAGGGGCATCTATTACCACTACTCCACAGATGGACCAGGACCGCCAACTGGGTAGAGGGGCATGTAGCACCACTACTCCACAGGTGGACCAGGACCGCCAACTGGGTAGAGGGGCATCTATCACCACTACTCCTCAGATGGACCAGGGCCACCAGCTAGGTATAGGGACATGTAGCACCACTACTCCACAGATGGACCAGGACCGCCAACTGGGTAGAGGGTCATCTATCACCACTACTCCACAGATGGACCAGGACCGCCAACTGGGTAGAGGGGCATCTATCACCACTACTCCACAGATGGACCAGGACCACCAACTGGGTAGAGGGTCATCTATCACCACTACTCCACAGATGGACCAGGACCACCAACTAGGTAGAGGGGCATGTACCACCACTACTACACAGATGGACCAGGACCACCAACTAGGTAGAGGGGCATGTAGCACCACTACTCCACAGACGGACCAGATCCACCAACTGGGCAGAGGGTCATCTGTCACCACTACTCCACAGACGGACCAGATCCACCAACTGGGGAGAGGGTCATCTATCACCACTACTCCACAGATGGACCAGGACCACCAACTGGGTAGAGGGGCATCTGTCACCACTTCTCCACAGATGGACAAGATCCACCAACTAGGTAGAGGGTCATCTATCACCACTACTCCACAGATGGACCAGGACCACCAACTAGGTAGAGGGGAATGTACCACCACTACTCTGCAGATGGACCAGATCCACCAACTAGGTAGAGGGTCATCTATCACCACTACTCCACAGATGGACCAGGATCACCAACTAGGTAGAGGGGCATGTACCACCACTACTCCACAGATGGACCAGGACCACCAACTAGGTAGAGGGGCATGTAGCACCACTACTCCACATATGGACCAGGACCACCAACTAGGTAGAGGGTCATCTATCACCACTACTCCACAGATGGACCAGGACCGCCAACTGGGTAGAGGGGCATGTATCACCACTACTCCACAGATGGACCAGGACCACCAACTGGGGAGAGGGTCATCCATCACCACTACTCCGCAGATGGACCAGGACCACCAACTAGGTAGAGGGTCATCTGTCACCACTACTCCACAGATGGACCAGATCCACTAACTGGGTAGAGGGTCATCTATCACCACTACTCCACAGATGGACCAGGACCACCAACTGGGTAGAGGGTCATCTATCACCACTACTCCACAGATGGACCAGGACCACCAACTAGGTAGAGGGGCATCTAGCACCACTACTACACAGATGGACCAGGACCACCAACTAGGTAGAGGGGCATGTAGCACCACTACTCCACAGACGGACCAGATCCACCAACTGGGCAGAGGGTCATCTGTCACCACTACTCCACAGACGGACCAGATCCACCAACTGGGGAGAGGGTCATCTATCACCACTACTCCACAGATGGACCAGGACCACCAACTAGGTAGAGGGGCATCTGTCACCACTTCTCCACAGATGGACAAGATCCACCAACTAGGTAGAGGGTCATCTATCACCACTACTCCACAGATGGACCAGGACCACCAACTAGGTAGAGGGGAATGTACCACCACTACTCTGCAGATGGACCAGATCCACCAACTAGGTAGAGGGTCATCTATCACCACTACTCCACAGATGGACCAGGATCACCAACTAGGTAGAGGGGCATGTACCACCACTACTCCACATATGGACCAGGACCACCAACTAGGTAGAGGGTCATCTATCACCACTACTCCACAGATGGACCAGGACCGCCAACTGGGTAGAGGGGCATGTATCACCACTACTCCACAGATGGACCAGATCCACCAACTGGGGAGAGGGTCATCCATCACCACTACTCCGCAGATGGACCAGGACCACCAACTAGGTAGAGGGTCATCTGTCACCACTACTCCACAGATGGACCAGATCCACTAACTGGGTAGAGGGTCATCTGTCACCACTACTCCACAGATGGACCAGGACCACCAACTAGGTAGAGGGGCATCTGTCACCACTTCTCCACAGATGGACAAGATCCACCAACTAGGTAGAGGGTCATCTATCACCACTACTCCACAGATGGACCAGGACCACCAACTAGTTAGAGGGGCATGTACCACCACTACTCCACAGATGGACTAGGACCACCAACTAGGTAGAGGGGCATGTACCACCACTACTCCACAGATGGACCAGGACCACCAACTAGGTAGAGGGGCATGTAGCACCACTACTCTGCAGATGGACCAGATCCACCAACTAGGTAGAGGGTCATCTATCACCACTACTCCACAGATGGACCAGGATCACCAACTAGGTAGAGGGGCATGTACCACCACTACTCCACAGATGGACCAGGACCACCAACTAGGTAGAGGGGCATGTAGCACCACTACTCTGCAGATGGACCAGATCCACCAACTAGGTAGAGGGTCATCTATCACCACTACTCCGCAGATGGACCAGGACCACCAACTAGGTAGAGGGTCATCTGTCACCACTACTCCGCAGATGGACCAGGACCACCAACTAGGTAGAGGGGCATCTGTCACCACTTCTCCACAGATGGACAAGATCCACCAACTAGGTAGAGGGTCATCTATCACCACTACTCCACAGATGGACCAGGACCACCAACTAGTTAGAGGGGCATGTACCACCACTACTCCACAGATGGACTAGGACCACCAACTAGGTAGAGGGGCATGTATCCCCATTTCTCCACAGATGGACCAGGACCACCAACTGGGTAGAGGTTGTTTTTTGTGTGTGTGTGTGTGTGTGTGTGTGTGTGTGTGTGTGTGTGTGTGTGTGTGTGTGTGTGTGTGTGTGTGTGTGTGTGTTTTATGAATACCCCACTCAGACACAGTATACTGACTCCGAGCCGACCAGCCGATCTTGTTTGAGCCCCTTAATGCCGTGCGCCAGACAGGGTGACAACAAGTACCGTCTTATAACGTTCGTTGATATGACGCGGCCGGGGGTTGAACCCCGGACCGTTCACTATGTGGAATGGACTGTACCCCGCTTTCCTATTGTTGCGGGATTATTCCACCTACCCGGTTTCTCAGCAAGAGAATAATACATGTAGGTGTCAGGTATGTGAGGGGACCATGTGCGTGTACGTGCGTGCGTGCGTGTGTGCGCGTCTCTGTGTGTCGGAGTGCCTTGTAAGTATTGGGTGTGCTTGGAAGTATGGGTTGTAGGGCGGGTAGCTGTCATGTGAGCATCTAGAAGTGAGGTTTCAAATGTGGTATTTGACACAGGGATTGGGGTCGTGTCTGCGAACATGGGTTACAAGTGTAGGGGTTGTAGGATGTTAAAGGGTGTTGCAATTACTGCTGCAATCTAAAGTACTTACATCTTTCCCAACGCCACCCACAAATACAATGTACATATTTTACTGATCTGTTTCAGATCTTCATTGAGATGACCAAGGAAAAATCAAGACGCACAATCCAGTGACCCCACAATAAACACACTGCGACAGGTACACACAAGAGGCGTCTATCCCTCCTTTCACTTTCCCACATCTTACCTACACACGCATAGTTAGCATATTTTCTCCGATGCAAAGTTCAAAGGTGACAGGTGGCTCCCTATCCTTGTACTCAATCAACAGGACATATGCTGTTTTACATTGAATCTAGCCTACCCGACGTCGACATATTCAGAGAAAAAAACACATGCCTATTGAAGTGAAGTTAATTTAAGAAATAAACGACCTACAATATCGTACAATGAAACACTGCAGGGAGAATAAACCATGAGCAGATATTGACATTATGTACGGCCTCTATAAGGATGATGATAAAATGTACAAACTCTAAAAATATTTACCCGCATTTTAATAAATTATAAATGATGACTCCCTAAAAAGGATCCGACCTCGATAATATCGGACAACTCCATTTAATGCACAGGTGGGTATTTCCCGCATATTCTCACAATCCTCACGTCGATGACCTGTACCTTTTCTCCTAATTGTCTTAGGCCCGTGAAGAACTAGGGAAGAATAGGTCTTCAGCAACCCATGCTTGCCGTAAAAGGCGACTATGCTTGTCGTAAGAGGCGACTAACGGGATCGGGTGATCAGGCTCGCTGACTTGGTTGAAGCATGCCATCGTATCCCAATTGCGTGGATCGATGCTTATGATATCAATCACTGTATTGTCTGGTCCAGACTCGATTGTTTACAGATCGCCGTCATATAGCTGGAATATTTGTGAGTGCGGTGTGACACAAACAGACAAACAAACAAACAATCAAACAAACAAACGATTGTCATATCTCTCCCGCTTTTGTATGCGATCGCTCGGTCGTTGGGTTTATCTTCGTTGCCAAGCTGCATCTATGGGAAAGAACTCACCAGACACTTCCTTAAGTGTAGCCATACCTTCTTTTCCCCCGTCACGAGATGAGAGAAACAGGATATTTCACGAGACACATAGCATATCCTATTAATTATATACTTTTTGTGTAGTTGTCTACCGGAAAATTACATTATTTCATTACAAATGTAAAACCTTGAAACCCAAATTCTCTCTACCTAAGACACAGGGACGGTTTACCACCCCTTGTATTTATATTTAAGTATAAAAGTAGTTTTGTGTTTGCAAAATCTTAGACAGTATAAACAAAAGTATCAAATAATATTTTGGGTCACGAACATTCTGTATCATACATATAGACATGATTATATAGAAAATCAACTTAAACAAATAATATTCTTGAAAATTACGAGACCGCTGTTGGAAGCAAAATAATGCACGCTGGTCAAGTAACAAAAATGGCGCTTTGCGAAACGATCAGTCTCGATTGACGAGTTAAATGAGAAATTTACAGTTTAAAACGAAATATTTTCAAGACAATAACAAACGGCATATTAGCTCCATAAATGTCCATCGGTCATTATTTTTCCTTGTCAATGTGAAACTAACGTAAAAAGGAAATAAACCATTTGTGTAGCGGCAGACCAAACGATAAAGGGAGACCATATGAGGGGAGGTAACTCTTGTATGACACTGGTTCCGTAAAAGTGTTATGTTCACAGCAATTAAATATCAAGTATTATGTACATGCAATGAAAATATCACTGTCACAACAACAACAATAATAATTTTATTATTATTTCAGAAAATTAAAAAAAAATAATTATGCTTCAGAATGTTGCCACATAAAAACATTGTTGCGAGATGCTTCTATTTTTTAAAAAGAAAAAGAAATATTTAGGCTCGTTTTAATTTAAAATATTTACAGCAGATGTAGCTGTAAAAGAATTTCTAGCCTCCATACAAACCCCCCAACCCCTCAATATCAAATTATCACTGAACGTCATAATCTTTGGGTTATGCTGATTGGCTGGACGATGACAATTGTCCCATTGTTTACACTGTTTCCGAAATCCAACATAGCAGCCTGGCATCATATCCAAATATTCAGGATAACCTACTCGCAAGTCGGAATCGCGGATTATTGGTGCCGTCTGAATTACTTTTCACATTATTTCACGTGAAGGTTATTCTCAAAAGACTTGGACCCGTGAAGATCCGGGGTAGAATACCAACCAACCAAGTAACCAACTAACCAACTAAAGACTTAACATATCTGGGATTGGTCGTAATGGTTGGTCGTTCGCTGTGTAGAGTTGCGTCCCTTTGGCACGAGAGGCCTATGATTGCGGGTTCGAATCCCGGTTCGCCCTGATTATGTTTCTAGGTTTGTCAGCACCATAACCCTGCTCGTGGGTTTCACCGAAGTGGTAAACGTCGGAGACCTGCATCACTTCGGGTTTTCCTTCCACATTAAGCTGACACGCGGTGATGTAATTGGAATACTGTTCCAAGCGGTGTTAAGGCCCAACTCACTCGAAACAGAGCGGTTGTTGCACAAGCGTACGGATGTCTCTGTTGACATTATGTGTGTCGGTACACTCTGACGTGCTGTGGTTGTCTGTTTGAGAGAATGACAAATCCACCTATAGGGTGATAACAGCTACCCAGGCCCCTGTGGGAACCAGGGTTAGAACAGGTCAAAATCTATCTGTGCTTGTCGCACTTAATGGATCGGGTGGTGACTAGGTGACTGGCGTGTCATCGTACCCTGACGGCGTGGTTCGTTGCTCATAACATCAATCACCGAATTGTGTGGTCCAGACTGGATTATTTACAGGCTGGCGTCATACAGATGATAACTTGCTGAGTGCGTCGTTAAACAAGAAAACACGCTATCCTTGACATCATACAACATCGATTATCCATCGTATATTCCGTATTCCTGCGAATAACGAAACCAAGAAACACAAGTTATACCGCATATTCCCAAATACATATTCCAAGAATGGGTGCAATGATACTACTGATATTTTGTATAGTATGTTAATCTGTCCTTTCAGGAGTACATACAATACCTTGGTGGAAAGTGTTCATGTATTGATTGCCCTTCATAAGTTTCTTAAATGGATATAAAATTATAGTTTTTGATTTACAGTACGAAGTGAAGTGAGTATACCGCTTAGGTTATTGGCACAATACAGAAATATGCTGACTGACTTCAACGCGATATAAACAGTAATGGAGGTTTTATTACAGCGCTAATAAGGTTAATATCCTTTAATATTTGTGGGTGGGGATGGGCAGTGTTGGGTAACGGTTTGGGTGGGGTGGGGTGGGGTGGGTGAAGTGTGCTGAGTTATGCTGAAATTTGATGAAGGTAGGGTAATTTTCTATGATGTTATAGTTTGCAAGTGTTTTCTAGAACAAGTTCCTTTTTAAAATACAGCACCATCGGACACACCACCCAAACAATATTTAATGTCACTGAGTCAATGAGGAATTGGGCTTTTGAAGCGAACGTAAAATGTCATTGATTCTTCCATACGGACGAATGACTGACCGATGACAGAGATGGGACACAAAAGTAAAGTTAGACAAATA